AAAGAATAGCCCTTCAAGTTCTCCCTAATTACCATTTTAGACTATGCCAATACTCGATTAAAAAATAAGGACAGAACCCAGAAAAATATGTTGCCAGAGTTTAGTTCAAAAAATCTATTTTCCCCATTAATCTGACTCTATATCCTACTGATATCTGTAAAGGAACATGGAGACATCTACATTAAAATATGATATAAATATTGATTTAAATAATTTTCCAAAGTCAAAACCTAATTGAAATGCACTCCCAACACATTTAGAAAAATCATATTTTGAATATAAATACACTTCATTGGTACTTGAGAAAATATTATTTCTACTGAACTCTCCAGTTAACTTTCCAACTTTAGTATTTAGTAATTCTCCAAATTTTCTGGAAACATGATAATAAGTCACTTTTCCTAATCTAAGATGTAAAACCAGAATGAAACAAGTATAATAAATATTGTTAGATTTTTAAAAGGCTATGAGTATTGTATGATCTCTAAAGTTCTTCCAAACTAATTTTCCTTGAACCTGTATATATACATTTACCATCCAGTAAAACATTTTTGCCATAGTATTCTATTACATTTTAATAAATTTTCAATTTATTTCAGTAAATATAATAAATAGATGACTTTCATCAATTGTACTTACACGTTTTGGGATTCCTGGCTTACTGAAGAAACAGAATCAGAACCCTCTACTGGAGTAGGAATTCTTTCTGATAGCAAACTTGTCTAAAAAAATAGCAGAATAATTTATATTATTTTTCTTACTGATAGCACTACCCATAAGATTTCCTATGCTGCATCTTTGTTTTATCCTTAATGTTATTAAAATCAAAGTTATCTTCAAATTTTAAATTATCTGGTTGTTAATTAAATATTATGTGACATATTTTACAAATAAACCATATTAAATGGGGGTAAAAGACTTAGTTGTCCATTGATATATACATATATGGCTATTGCTACATTACAATCTCTAGTATCCACAATGAAAACCCAGCTGTCTCTAAAAATTACTTTAAAATAACTCCCAAAGAGTGTTAGTCTATGTAAGGAAAAGTACCCTAAAGCCTCATCTAGGAGAAGAAAAGAATCTGCAGTACCCATTTAAGTCTTAGAACTTTGTCCCACTGGGAAAGGAGATACTGCAGTCATCCTGTGCCAAATTAAGATGCATTATCTTCCCTAGAGTACTGTGATGCTAAAGAAGTCATATTTGCCCAGTTAACTATTTCATCCAAAGTACAACACTAGAATGGTGCTTACATTTGAAATAAAGATTTGCAGGGAGGAAAAACGAAGCTTGAAAATACTTACCTTTTTCCATGCCTTTGCTATAGATTCATGCAAATTGTAAGTGATTAACACCTGCAAGCCTTCACATGTACTATATATCTGACGACACACAGAAATAAAAGCTCCTTTAACCGCAGGCAACATTTGTGATCCAGAAAATATTGAAATATCTTCATCAAGAAGTTTTTTCGAAAACTGGGCAATTATATGAGCACCTGTAGAACTAAAAGATGATACCTGAATGTGATTCCAAGGTTATATTAATCTTGACTTCATAAAGCTATACCAAAAAGGCTAGTCTTGTCACAAAAACTCTTCATTTGCTTGGATCCCTTTTAGTCCTCCTCTAACTTTTCTCAGATATGTCAATATTCGTGTTCCCACCCATGTGCAGATGTCTAGCAATGAGAACAGTTTCGGTGGGATGGAAGGAAAAAATATACAGACAGTGAAAAAGCAGCAAAACTTTACAATTAAAAGATTATGGATGCATTGAGACCACGGCCATGTAGATAAGTACTGTCAATTCTATAGTGAAAACATAATCCTAAACGCTCCATTCCTAGCACTTACTGACACATTCCCCATCCCATTAACAGGACTTAGTTCCCTTATATCAAAGGCTGAGAAACTTTTTTTTTTTTGAGATGGAGTCTCGCTCTGTCACCCAGATTGGAGTGCAATGGTGTGGTCTTGGCTCACTCCGCCCTCCGGGTTCGAGCAATTATCCTGCCTCAGCCTCCTGAGTAGCTGGGATTACAGGTACATGCCACCATGCCTGGCTAATTTTTGTACTTTTTTAGTAGAGACAGGATTTCACTATATTGGCCAGGTTTCACCATATTGGCCAAGCTGGTCTTGAACTCCTGACCTCAGGTGATCCACCTGCCTCGGTCTCCCAAAGTGCTGAGATACAGGTGTCCGGCCAGCTGAGATACTTTTAAAAGTAATAATAGATAATAATAATAGATAAGTACTTAATACATGCTCAGAATTTACACAAGTTCAATGGTATGCATTAGATTGTTGTAGTTACAGGTCCTAATATTTTCCCCCATGCCACTGATTTGTTGGGAAAACAGTCATGTTTATTTGGATAACTGTTTTACCATGCTTTACCATGGTAAAAAAGTCATTTAACTTTTTTCTCTAGTTCTCCATATAGCCTATAAAGTGATCACTAGATCTAGAAGATTATTTAGATTTAAGTTTAATTTCTTTTGTTTCCTTTCCTTTTTTTCCTTGGTAAAATAACTTCATAGTTGGTTGCCGCTGTCTACCTCCTATTCAATGAAGCACTATCTGGATGTCCCAATTTTAGTGTTGCTAAAGATCATTGATCAGATGGTGTCACCCTGACCTCTCTAGTATGTAGTCCTCCCCATCAACCTTTCACCTAATGATTTAGCATTCATTAATGATCATTTCCTACATCTACTATTTCATTAAGGATTATCAAATTATGATTTTTCTGATTAAATCATTTATCTTGCATTTATTAGCTAGAATTCTTCTGTGAAGAACTTTTCCTCATTAATGTTTTGGTTACACTAAAATACAGTTTGTACAGAAAAGGCTAGAAAAAATGCTTACATTTTCTTTTTATCAATTTGCATACTAATAAGTTGGTGTCCTA